TGAATTGCAAGTAGTATATTCGCAGTGCGGAATAGTTGTTCATGCTCATTTAAAATACCATTCATTTTAATAACTGTTCTGTTTGATAAGTGAATCTGCTCTCCGTGCATAAGATAAACGATTTAAATTGATAAGATAGCTCGATGGGCATTCGAGTCTAATTCGATCCAAAAGTGAGACTGAAGTTTATTATATTTTTCACGAGAACTATTTTTTCACCCGATGGTAAGTGAAGGTCGCCACCTTATGCCACCCGCAAAAGTGCCGCCAATCACTTGTAATTTGGGTCTCAGGTTAAGTCCCTCAAAGTACTGCACCCGCAAATATACTATTGTTTCAAGATGGTCTTCTGTGAAGCTGTGAACTGAGCGGACTGACCCATTGTGGTAACTACAACATCTGCAACCAAGATCTCTACGAAAGAGGCGTCTCTCTAAAGCAGTACTGGCTTCTCAGTTGCGATTGCTCCGCAGACGCGTTAGCTATCGCGTTCGGAATCCGGCGCCCGTATCGCGCGTTACCGCTAACAATACACCGCCATCGGAAACGGCCGAATAAAAAAAGAGTTAGAGCAACAGTAACGACGTTTGAATAATGTGCCACCTGTTGCCCCGGCCAGCTACATCGGCCCGTGTTTACGTTCACCTCAGATTTATTGTGGCGATGAGTCTCACGGAAACTTGCGCGGATGGCCGACCGCCGCAACGGCGAGACCGCCGCGATCGGTTCGCGAACGGCTCAGACAAATGGTTTCACTCGGCTAGTCCATTTACTGTATACGGCCGAACCGGTACTTACATCAGTGAAGTACTGCAGACCCTTATAAAATATGGGGCCTCGATACCTCACAATTTTTAGGATTTTTCATATTTATATCTTACATTTTTTCATAATACAATTGCAAGCTTGAACAACATGTATTGAGTGTCGAAATTAATTTAATGAATATTACGTTTCGTTAGAGTTCTATGTGAGCAATACTTTGATTATTGTTATTAAATTATAGCGATTCTATGTGATTTACAAGTGTGCTTATCAAGTTTGTAAATATATACTTAAGGAAATAAATTACTAGTATTCTTAGTGTTGAAACTTTAAATATGTCAATTAATAGAATCTAATGAACTTTATTCTTGGTTTTACCCGAGTCGAGTTAAGGATTTAAGTTCTCATCGTGTGCTCGGTTACCCCGACTAGCACGATGTCTTCACGTGTCTTCGAAATATTTTTTGCAATATATCTGAATGCGCAGACGCCAACAGAGTACGTTGTAATAAGACGCGACTGGTAGACCTTAGTGAAATCGTAATAAGTTCCACTCAACTGTTGAATGGAAAACATTGTTTACTTCTATCCATCGCACGCCCTCGCGATGGGTTATGAAGCACATACTCGTAAATGCGCGCAGACGCGTCTGCATTCAGTCAGCCGGCATCAAACGGCCGGTTTACGATGGCATTGTTTTTATTTCTCATCATTACGATTGCGTGGAAACTCGCCGGAATGCGGCGGAAGCGACGCACTTATAAATAGAATGACGCTTTGTAGTACACAAGCAACCGGAATGCATCGATAGTAATCGATGCGTGCTTTTGAGACAATAGAGTAAGCCAATACGGTTATATTCTACTTTCTTCGTGCATGAGGGTTCGATTTCGAGGGCTTTCACTTTCAAAGATGAGATTTGACCAACTTTTTGCACCAATGTTTAATTTGGACCATGTTAGATTGGCACATTGTTGGAACTGACCTTTTTTTATGTGAGAAGATGGTAAGCGGGCTGCCGGTTCACCTGATGTTAAGTGATCACATTTGCAACACCCTAAGGGTTACGGATACGTTGCCACCTTTTAATAAAGTGTGCCCGGTTACCTCAATTCTCATGCCGATCTTTTAGATGGTCATGGTACTTACCCGGGACGGATTTGCCCATTCGTGCAACAGCGAAGACTGTTGTATCGCTCTACCACAGTAAGAGAACTTACCTGAAGGCAATCAACTTGTTACCACTGACTAGAAAGGAATTCTTGGAATTGACATATCTTGCAGCATTCAATTTCTTGGTCACTAGACAGCCAATCTGGCTTCTAAAAAGCTTGGTGTTGTATGTACAGCAAAAGCACAGTTGTTCTCATCTTCGGGCTAGTGTATTCCAAAACCAAATTTGGTTATTAGACCGCATCCAACATAGAATTGCTCGGTCGCCGACTAGACCACAGGTCCTTTCCAATTGTCACGACCTTTTGGCCTTACGAAGAGATGTTTCATCTCCTTGCATTTGTTATCGCATCTATCAAAGGGAGTGCTCTGAGAAATTGTTCGGATTAATTCCTGCTGCTGAATTTCATCACCGTACGAAGAGTCAAATTGCCACCTCGCTGGTGGCAGTCGAGCACTATGCGTTTTTCACGCAATTTTCTGCCACGCACAACCAAGTTGTGGAATCAGTCCTCATCAGCGGTATATCCGGACCGATACTTAGGGACCTTCAAGAAGACCTTATGACTCCATTGGTGTTGCGAGTGTGCATAGACGGCGGTAAACCATCGAGTGACCCGCCTGCACATTTGCCGTCTTTTACATAACAAGTACATTTTTTGAACGAATAACAAAACGGACTCCAAATCGGAGCCACCAATGAAATTTATATGGGATCATATGAGAAGCGCCAGCTTTCAAATAAAGAACAATCATCAAAATCGATTCATTCAGTCGAAAGTTCTGAGGTAACAAACATAAAATACAGTCGAATTGAGAACCTCCTCCTTTTTTGAAGTCGGTTGAAAGAGGTAAACTACAAACAAATTTCCTCTATGTTTAATTTTGAAACGTTTTTTTTATGTATACAGCGTGTCTTTACTATCGCGACAATAAATGAACACACATATAGAGGATAACTTTTTAAAATTGTATTAAACATTTACATTCTTTAAACATCAGTATTCACAGAGTTATTAAATTTTCCAAAACAAAGAATTTTAGAACAGCCTTACGTATAAAACTGTAACGTAAAGTTCATTTGTAAAGGTCACAAAGCATATGAATGAATTTAAAAGAGACAAAACATACTGTTAGAAGGAGAGGCTTGTAATGCGACGCTGTGGCAACGAATGAAAAAGTCTCTGAATGTATGAATCAGTCAGTTGTAGTTGTAAAGGATGTTACAAATTTTGTTTCTTTTTTACTTAATTAGTTTGTTTGAAATTTATTTTTTATTATGGATTTTTTTAACGTTAATATTTTTTTATGATTATTGGCAAGTAGCGTTACACGTGTGTTCATTTATTGTCGCGGTGGTAACAACACGCTGTACTCGTATATACTTCTCAAAATAAATGCTATTATTCAATGCTTTGTAAAGAAAGTATTGGATTCGTGCTTTCCATTAGTAATTCCATAACATATGCCTGTTTGAGTGTCGTTGTTTACAATTATAACACATGTCGTATGTTTAATAATGGTAAACTTCGCGGGCGCGTCAGCGCCTTATATCTATCAGCATTATTTATCAAATCCTTTGATCTCCGCCGGCATCAAACCAATATTATTGTTACTGTTCCACGTTTCGAGACATGAAACAGTTTCGCCCTACCGACTCGCATTAGGCTACCATACGGCATAGACTTTCCCATGTAAAAGATATATTACTCACTTCCTTTGTATGCCAGTAAGAAATAAGGCAGTATATCACTGCAGTGATTTACTATATTGGTTCAAGCAACCATTTGTAAGTTACGGACTCGATTGGCATTGGACTTTCATCCAGGATGTTTATTTCTAAAAGCTTCATATAGTTTTTTCGATAGAAAGTTTGAAACTTTTTAGGGAATGGACTTATGAAATTCCTTTCTAGAATTTAGTTTAGTCCAGGGAATAAGGTGACCGAGCTGGTGATGATACCCCAGGGCTGTTGTGGGTATCCATACTCTGTAGTTGTCACTTACCAATGAATCGAGTCACTCTCTTATTTCTCTCCTATATATGTAAAGCTGTTAATTTTATGTAAGTGACACTTTTAGAATACAATGAAATATGTTTTTGAATAAATGATTACATAAGTTTCTTTCTTTAACTTTAGCGTATGCGCATTTTTTTTCAATTCGATTATTCTAGGATTGCTCTATAATATGTGTTAGGAATCTTTTATTGATGGAAGATCCGTTTCCTTTTATCAATAACATCTTGTGCATAAATATATATATTATTACTTATATATTTTATTATTCACTTATGATATGCTCTTATAGGTGTGGAGAAATTATGTACTATTTACTGATCACGTTATTATCAAAACATTTTGTTTCTGAAATTGCAATAGGCAGGAAAAATCCGCATATCTCTTTGTAAGCTGCTTGTTTTTTTGTAAGCAGAAATAGATAAGTACGCTTGAATCAATTGTGTACATTCGCCTTTTATAGCTGCGGCTTACTTTTTTGTTAATTTCCTTTATTTATTTTTTAATTTAAGTTTTTCTTTCTCTTTTATTGTTTGTATACTTTTTTTGGTAAATACATGTATTTTCTTTCTTTCTTTCTCTCTTACTTAGAAATACCAACCCACGATCTAAAACTGATTCGAAACCCAGCCAGCAGCAAAAGGCTGCATAGTCTTTTCAATCCCGTTCTAGCTTGATGTTCAGAGACAGTTGTTTTTGAACTATCAATATAGGACAAATTGATTTACACATATCTTCGGGTAAAAAGAGCTGATATTGCCCGGACAGCTGTCTCTAAATGTAACCTATAACGCACATTTCCCATCCGCAGGGTAACCATGGAGGTTCGGCAGGCACGTCGTACGAACACAGTTAAAAGGAGGCGCGTTCTCAACAAGAGCAAATGGAATCGGTGTCCCATCCGATATCACGATCTAGATTAAAACACGGGTCCCTGCGAATAATACAGTGGTACGGTCAACAGAAAAATGTCCTAACCGAACTGCACGCGACAAATTGTACTGTGCCAAAAGTGTCGTGATATGGAAGAGTAGGCGCGGCCGCGATGGGGTGCGGACAGAGCAAAATCAACCTCTACCCGCGGCGCAACAAGAATGGCGGCAAGGGGAGTAGCGCAAAGAAGTCGGGTGAGTTTTGACATTTTTTTTTATCGTGAATTTGCGAACGATAGGTTACCATCCCATGTAACGGTAAGTGATACAGCTGTCGGTTACCCTTGCCACAAGACGCTTTCCTTTTGCCGTAGAGGCTGACCATTTACCGACTTTGCTAACTGATCAATCGTGCAGTTAGCATTTGTCCTGAAACCAATGAATAGTTAATAACGTCGAAGTGCCCTTAAGATATTACAAAACTTTCTTAGCCACAATCCAATATTGTAATTGCCTCCTTTATTGCTGTGGAATTTAACACAAATATAATTTAATAGTGTCAAAAAAACTTAAATCTAACACGACGGGTTTTCCGGTTTAGTAATCAGCGTGTCCTGTGATACATTGGTCTCTTCCAGCTGTTTCCACTTATTCCACTACCTAGTCCAGAAAATCAAAAGACATAAAGCAAGTATTAATATAGCTTAAATAGCTTTTTAAAAATGATAAGTCGGGTCGAGTATGAACCGCCATTGTGCATCAAAGATCCTATTATTGTATGTATACATTATCGATTTTGACAGCGACATTGCGGTAACTCACCTCTCATCGATTCATCATTCGCCATAGATTTGCAATTGTGCCCATTGAACTTTTGCTTCATCAAAAAAGAAAACAGGTGGTTTTCTAACTCTTTATGAATATCTTGGATCATTGAGAGATTTTTCTTCACCATCATTAATGAAGTGTTTATAATCACTCCACGCAGGTGATTCGTCAATTGGGATCGATTCAGGAGCAGGGCTAAAACTCTTAATGCAGTCAAAACAATGAAAATTATCAACGTCAGTCTCATTCTCATTGAGCAATAAAATTAACTACTTTTGTTTTAATGCTGTAAAGCAATTATCGAAGAAGGAAGTGCCTTTTGATTTAGTCTAAATATGTATAACTCTTCTGAATATGTAGCAAAATTGCTTCTTCTGCTTTTGTCATAATCCATATGGCGAAGCATGTAGAACAGGATCACCTGAAAATTAATAATTAAAATAGACTTATAAACTTAACTTTTAAACCGGGTACAAAAGGAACGTCGTTATATTCTTAACTAGCTTATCAGGCGTATTAGTGGAAATATTGCACTTATTCTACAACATTGTTCAGCATATCCGTTAGTGACGGTTACTCTGCCATTGCCCTGTAAATAAAAAAATGGAAAACAATCAAAGTACAAATATTGCAGCTTGAGAGCCTACGTACCAGACGACTTTATTTGAGGTGGAAGAGATATGTAAAGCAATAAACAACATGTCGCCTTGATTCACAGTACTAGTTTTATCCTTTTTCAGTCACATCTCTTGTGACCAATTTGCTTACATTCATACATTTGCAATGGGAAACCGATTCTACTGTTCTTGCTTTAGTCTTGGAAATCTCATGGACCAATTTTGTTTACTAAGCCCGTTCTCACTTCGATACTGCACTTCAAGCGCCCATTATCATATGGTCATAGTTCGGTGTTAGATCTTCTATCGCAATCGACACAGCTTCAATCACCTAATCAACATTTGCAAGAACTTGCGCCGTCGACATCACCGTATAAATGTAGGCTTCTAAATCATAATCAAAATCCGACAAACTGAACCCATCTCATTTGCGTTCTGAAACAAATACGTCCGTTCCCGTCCGTTCCTTTATTCCCAAAAACTTTATGTACTGACGTCTAAGCTTCGGCAGTAGATTTAACAGATCTCACGCCCGTAATGGTTGCCCCGATTTTTACCCTGGAGTATGGAGGCAGGGGTCACCATCAGAGTAGCCAACTTTTGTTCACCACAAATCGTCTACCAAGTAATTCCACCTTTTTAAAACAATAACAACTTCTTTGAAAAGTCTTCTATTCTGGTATAAGCTAAAGCTATTCACTAAGATACATAATCGGATGTACTATATTTTCGTACCACATTTGTGTATGTAAATTTGATAAGGCTTACAGCCAGCCAGAAAAACCTTAACCGCTCAAGTATATGAGCACGTGCCTTCAAATATTCATACGAAGCTCGAGATCAACCAACCTTAGAGTTTGTCCTTGCATTACATTATGCATCGTTAATACAAAGTCTTTCTTTTTGCTCTAAACAATTTAACGGCTGTTTTACGTGCGAGCTATATAAGAATAATCTGAATCCTAAAATACAAGCCCTATAAATCTTGAAAGCCCTATAAATCCCTATAAAACACAAGCCCTATAAACCTGGTTAGATGCTTGGTACTATCATCGAGTTTTACAAATACCAAAACATGGCAGGGCATGAATCAGCTGATTCAATGCTTGACAGTAGTTTAAAAATTTATCTAAAAATAGACGTAAAATTTTTCGCCGCGCGAGGATTGGAACCTGCGACCTTTAGCCACAGCTAAACGGCTTATCTTCGCATCGACAAAAACCTAAACGTATTTTATGTACTTTGCTTTTACTATATTTATGATTTTACTATATTTTTAAACCTTCATTGGTGTTTCCTATCGATCTAATGTTTCCTTTACATAAAACGAACTATTATATAACATTATACTTATCATAAAACATTTTACAAATTAGAAAAAATGATAGTAAGTTAAGCGCTAGAACGCCATAAAACGCTAGAAATCCAAAAATTAATCAAAGTCAATGGTGTAAGAAAAACTAGCTGCTTAGTTTTTTAACCATAAAAAGAAGTCTTCTTGGTCTTAAGATTTGAAAGGAGGTTTGAGCATCCAATATAACTCGTTTTTAACATAAAAAGTAAAGTAAAAAAGGTAAAGTATTTGTGTAATAATTTACGGTTATGTGTGTGTGTGTCTCTGACATTGATAAATTATTAGACTACTTGAAAGTATTGCCCCTAAACCCGATGGCTCGTGAACGTCTTTTGGCCAAGCGTGTTAAACGCGAGTTGGTGTGCATTGTAAAGAAAGAGAACTTAATAAGTGAATACTCGGAAAGTCAATTGAAGTTTTAATGCCGCTGTAGTAAATTGTTTGGTCGTAAATAGAAAATTATTCACGAGAATACGGTAAGCTTAATTGTCAATGTAAGGTTAATTGTCAATTATTGTTAATTAAAGGCAGTAAATTAATGTCAGTTTATGGCCAACGTTTACGTACTAATTCCTATTAAACAATTATGTATATATTTTTACATGTGATAATAAAGAGAAAAGTCTACGTGGACAAAATGATTTACATCTTAATCTTCGAAGATGAAATAATAAAACTTTACTAGAAGCGTTGTAAAAAATGTCGTTAAATGGCAACATTGACTTTTTTACTATTTAAATAAACAGCAATTTATTTTTCCTATTTTAAATCATTTTATGTAATTTTTTAATTCAATTTAATTTTTTTATTTTTTTATTTTTTTATTTCAATTCATATAATTTTTTAAGATTTTTTTTCTTTTTGTGCTGGTCTCTGCACTCAAGATGATAGTTGAAACTGTACAGTTTTGTAGACAAATGAACAAAAACTTGCGTCTTGATGTGCGCGCCAAATCAGAAGACGCAAGTTCGAATCCCGCAGCGCTGAAATTGTTTCTTCATTTATCTAAATAAATTTACAATTTGAAATTAATAAGTAATAATTAAAAACAATTAAAAAAAACATAAATAAAAGAAATAAAGTATTGTATTTTGTCAGTAGGAAAATGTCAGGTCAGATATGTTTTTTATCAGCGGTAGTGATAAAAATTTGAATTTTATAAACCTTTAAAGTTAACATTAATTTGTCAAAGGCGTTCATGGCATCTTTATGATATTGTTTATTTTGGGTTACAACCCTTATTGTACGATGAGCTTATTGTTTGCTTCAATCCTTTCTAATGGCACGTGGAAGGGAAATCTTTTCAACTTGGTTTCTTGCTATTATCTTAGTGTTAATATAAAAATGTTTCACAAACCTGAAACTATACTAAAATCATAAACAAGTAAAACATTTCATTTCTTTGTATTGAATAAAACAATTACTGAACCGTTGTTTAGTATTGCGATATATACGTTATCCCCGATCAACATTATTTAGTCAAAATGCAAATAAGTTTTCAAATATAGGTTGAAATATATATTGAGAAGAATTGGATAAACTGTCATATACTTGACAATATTTTAATTTATGTATATGATATAAATCATGATATGATGCAGCATGACCGATATATATGACCAGTATGTTAATCTATGTTTCTAACTTCAAATAACAAAGACTTTAGTATAAAGATCGTCCCCTCCCCCTTAAAGTTGAAATTTCTAAAAATCCTTAATCGGCGGTTGCTTACGTTGTTTCTATCAAAAAGAGCATTTTCAATTGAAACAATTGATTTTTTTAATTATAGATTCGATTTCTCAAAGATCTTTTATCAACACACCGGCAGACGGCCCAGAATGATCTTATAAGGGTTCCTTTTATCCTTTTAAGGTATGGAACCCTAATAGAGTAAAGTGTAATGTATTCGTTGAAAAACCTCTCGTTCAATTTTTTTTTTATAAAGAATGTTATAATAATTACATCTATAACAGTTAATATGATATTAAAGACCTAGACAGGAAATTAGACTGCTTTTTACGACTATTCTTCATGTTGAAAAGCAATACATTCGAGTGAGGTATCCTGGATCTAACCTCTCAGTCGTTTACGACAACTATGTTCTTGCTGTTTGGATTATTTTAAATGGCCAAGGGTTGCCGTATAGCATCACATGAAAAATGTACTCGTTTCCTCATTAAATAAAGAAGAGATTATTTCGTTCTCAAGGCCTTAAGGAACCGATGTGATAACATCATTTCGCGTTTAAACAATTATCGTCAACCGTTTTTCATTGCACGGTAATCAAAATTCACAAAGCGCTATTATCAAAATTTTGCACGTACGATCCGCCCCTTAACCCGAGGCTGGCCTAATACATCCGTGTCGTGTATACAGATGGCTTGTTTTCTTATTTCACCCTCATTCCATGCCACCTTATTACCATTCCGTCGGAGCGGTCCTTGGCAGCATTGCGA